GAAGTACCTGAATATATAAAAATAACAAATACAATAAAAATACAAAGAGAAAAAAATGAAAAAATTCAATTAATCATTAATTTTGGAAAACGGAAGAAAAAGATGAGCACAGCAATGTCTCCAAAGTATAATAAGCAAGCTGAAAACATTTGTTAAAAAACAAACACAGCAACCACACTTGCACTTACAGTCATTAAAAAAGGTAACACAAACTGCTAAGAAAAAGCTGTGAATGAATATGAACTTTCACACTATATATTTTTCTTCAACATTTTTACAAGGAACAAATTAATTTACTTAATGCATTTCTTTTTTTAAAAAAATTTTTAATGTGGCTGGGCATGGTGGCGCATGCCTTTAATCCCAGCACCCGGGAGGCAGCGGCGGGCGGATCTCTGTGAGTTCAAGGCCAGCCTGGTCTACATAGTGAGTTCCAGGACCAAAAAAAAAATTTTTTTAATGTGTATGAGTGTATCACCTGCATGTGTGTAAGTGCATCCATGTTGTGCGATGCCCACAGAGGTCAAAAGAGAGTGTTGGATCCCCTGGAGCTGGAGTTACAGGTGGTTGTTAGCCACCATGTGGATGCTGGGATTCGAACCCAGGTCCTCTGCAAGAGCAGCCAGTGCTCTTAATCATTGAGCCAACTCTTCAGCCCCACTTTAATGCATTTCTATTGAAGAATCAATGAAAGGTTCCATTCACAGTAAAAATCTTGGAAATAACACTAGTGGACATCCAGCATTATTCACCTATTTCTTTCAGTTCTTTTACTTTAATTTTATTCAAATAACATGGATTACCTATCTGTCTACATACTAGGTACCTGCTAGTACCAAAGTAAACAACAGTTCTAGCTTTCAACAAGCTCATATACATTAGCACTGTCTTACAATTTTATGCAATGATAGAAACATTCTGATGTGCACTTTTCCATACAGCAGCCACTAGCAGACGTGCATTATTGAGCTCTTAAAATGTGTCTTATGTGGCCAACAAACTAAAATTTTAATTTTAATCTAAGTGAGTTTAAATAGTCATTTGTGGGTATTACCTACAGTACTAGACAGCACAAGTTTATAGCAAGATAAAGAAAACAGGTGACTGCAAAACATGTATTGAGGAAAACACTAACTAGAAGCACACAGGCTATGAAAGCAAAAGAAAAGAGCCTGTTGCAGGATGCCTTCTGGAAAAACTGAAACCAGATTACTGAATAAGGAAGAAAGGTGCAGCATTCCATAAAGAGAACCAAATAATCAGAGGCTTGAAAGAGTACAAAGTGTTAAAGCACCTTTTATTATTAAACAGACACTCCAGGGAGCCAGTTAAGAGAAGGGGTACTGAGAAGCTAAAAGGCATGTAGAGGATCAGAATGGCATGTTTAGGAGTTTGAGTAAGAGAGAAAGCCACTGGTGAGACAAATTGATAATTAAGATAATCTAGATTTATGCATGTTCATAGCTAGGATAAAATTAGTGTAAATTAGAAGATAAAATTGTAGCACATAGAACTGATGGCTACTATACAAAAATCAAAGAAGTGGGCATGGGAAACCTCCCTTTGACTTGTTGGTCAGGGTAGTCCAAGAGACACCCAAAATAATACAGGTTATTGTCAGACCTTAACTGCCTTCCAGAACTTGAAATTAAGACCCTATTGCTGAAGACACAACATACTTCAGACAGACACAGACACGGTTCAAGCCTCTTGGAACAACTGAGCTGGAACAGACTAGCTCTGAATACCAGGTCTCATACTATCAGAAGACACTATGGAAGCTGTCAAGAGAGAAAACTAATCAATGATCCTACCCAGTTGTTAAGTGTACAAATCACAACAATGACTTGCCCAGCAAACTATCTCTATTTGTGAAGTAGTGGTGCTTTTATCTTGGTGGTAATCAGCAGCTATCTAATTGGAATTAAGGCTCAATGGGAGGGAAATCATGCATGATACTGTAAACATAGCCAAGTACACTTGGTGGAGAAGTCAAAGACCCTAGGAAAAGAAAAACCTACTTCTGTCACCTCCCTACACCAACATAATTTCTTTCTATATTCTAAATATGTATCCTTATATTTACAGATAGACAAGTATACCTCTGACCACTAATCAAGTTTCCTTTTGCAACAGATGGAGACTATCACTGAGTTCCACAACTGGTCAAATACAGAGAAAAAGTAACTGTGAGGTGCCTAAGTGACACATATACAACGCAACCTCTACATCTAAGGCTCAGGAACATTGCAGAAGAGGGGGCAGAAAGAATGTAAGCTAGAGGGACAAGACACCTGCTGCTAGTCAATGCATTCTAGACATGACAATGAAGCTGCAATGAACTATCTGAAGTATGGCAGGGAGAATCAGTTTTCTCCAGAGATTAGTTCCCTGAGAAGTTATCTAACCCCAAATGGACAGTTCTAAACACAGGTACACATGAGCAGCACAAAATGAACTAAGTGTGTGTGTATGTGTGCGTGTGTGTGCATGTGTGCGACATATATTTATAAATGTATGCACATGTAACAATAGTCAAAGAAGAGAACCAAAAATTGAGAGGGAGTGGGGGCACAGGAGGAGTTGGTGGAAGACTGGAAGGGATAAATATAATATAATGCAAGGAAAATACTCATGTATGAAATTCTAAAAATTAAAAAATAACAGCAAACAACAAAAACTGAAACCTGACAATGTACATTCTCTTAGAAAAAAGCTTGATAACCCTCCAGAAAGAATGAACTGCAGGCGATTTAAATAGTTTTTTAAGCTAATTTAACAATTCGTTTATGTAAATAAACTTCATCTACGATATTCAAACTCCAAATACCTAACTGGACTTACTGTAGCAAACAAAACATATGTAGATACCACTACAGAGATTAATACTTCAACTCATAAGTATCTGAAAGTCACTATGTGGTCTACATAGAAACGAAAACTTCAGACATATTCTTGTTAATCTGGAATAATTAGCCTGTTACCAGGATGCTTAAATCAATTTAAAAATCAAATTGAGATTCAAGATCAAAAGCTCTCAAAGGTGAATAAAAGTTACAAATGTAGACAAAGAAAATTCTACTTTAAATATGAAGATAAAGTAAAAAGTATGAAGATTCTTATAAAGCAAAAATTTTTTAAATTCAAGTGAATTTCATCTTAGAATATATAAATGCTAAGAACTATTAAAGAATAAATTTTATTTTGTGATTTCACATTTCTGTGATTATCCCATATGCTCTTAATACAGTCATCGTAATACTAGATATCAAAATATACTTCTAAGTATTTTCTTTTTAGAGGCTTCAAAAATGAAATAAAAAATAAAATAATTTTATAGACTTAATTATTTCCAAAAACATTAGAATATACATGAAACACCACTATGTAACAATAAAAGACAAAAAGGAAAGTATTTTCAGGCAGAAAAAGGCCTAAGCAAGAAGGAATTTTTCCAAGAAAGCTCCAAAACTTTGCATTACTTGCATATTATGTGACTAGAAGAGCTACTTTTAAAGCAGAAATAAGGAGTTCTTTTTTGTGTGTGCTAATTGTTTTATATCTTTTTAAAGTATAAATTTTGAAATTTTATATGAATATTGCCCCACAAGGCAAATCAGTTATCATCTGTGACTCAAATGAGTTCTATATTCACTTTGCAAATAGGATTATGAGCACCAAAATGACATATAACCTAGAATCACAATGGTCTTGAAGCAATTTAGTACAACCTACAAAAGATGCAAAAGCCCAAATAGTATGACCAATCAAAATTTTATGAGTGAAGGTTGTTGGAGATGGTTTTGAGGCAGGAGGAGCTACACAGCAAGGACAAATAATTAGCAAAGGCTAGTCAAGTCTATGAGGACAAATCAGAAAAGAATTACAGGGAGAACCGATTCAGAAAAGTCGCAGCTTACTCTGGTTTATTACAGTAATGAAGAGCTGGCAAGAAATTTCATATAGGTTAAAAACTCAAGGAAGGTTAAATACAATTATCTTTTTATTGTGGTAATACTCCAAACCAGAACCCAGATCTTATAATCAAAGGCTCTTTGCTGGTATACAGCATAAAAACACACTTGTAATTTTCTCCACTGTTCACTCTTATCAATGTGAATGAAGGAAGGACTAATTGCATTAAAATAAATGATTAGTACATAAACGAGTAGTCAAGCAAAGCTGGTGTTTCTGCACTAGTTGCCTTTCCAATCTAGAAGGACTGAAAGCCCTGAGGTGAGACCAAGAAAAGCTGCATTTGTATCTATGCAGGAAGCTGAAAGTCTATTTCTACTTGAGCTTTAAACTATTCAGTGCTACAGATTACTTCATAATCTATTACATGATCATACTCAAATAAATAAAGCAAGTTTCCTTTTAAAGATCATTTTAATAGCACTATTTTTAAAATTCACTTTCTTTTCAAAGCTCAGGAAAAACTGGAATGTTAAATTTTCACTATCTTTTTGGCATCCCTGCATATTATAAAAGGGATGGATATTATTAACCAACTTAATAAATAAAAACACAAGAATCTGCAATTGTAAGGACAGCACTGATGACAAATTAGCTAGACTGGATCATCGTACTTCCTACGTTTCATTTTTATTTCTTCTATATTTTATCCAATCGTCAACATTTCTGTAACACTATTATATAAAATAGTCTGAGACTTGTGTCTCAGTCTTTCAAGAAATTTGCTCACTTTATGAACTATTACCTCTGAATTCAGCCATTACATTATTAATTATATCTTAAATAATTTAGTGTTGGCGTATCTATCGAAAACTTTGCTTTGATGCTAAAAATATACAATATGAATTTCTTTTTTACTTTGGAAAACATTCGCAATTATTCACAATTTCAATGTGTAACTTTATAATACAAATTTTTAATTAGTTATAGACATTATAATCTGCTAGTTTTGATAAAATATAACATTAAAACAGTTCAACATAGCCAAATGACCAATGCAGAAAAAGGGAGAAAAAAAGTCTTACCTGGTAGTTTCTTTTCTCAGATAATGTATGTCCATCAGTCCTCACCATAGAGTCGTGTCCTTTCCTCACAGTACTGGAGGCAATCAAAAGAACTGTCACTCAAGGGTCGTGTCACAGGAAGGACCGCCCACCAGTTCTCCCTCTAGAGTGGAATTATCCAAAAGCCATCAAAATTACTAACATGTAAATACACAAACATTAACAAAAATATTCAACATGATACACAAAAAACAAAACAACAAAAATAACTGTCTTAAAATCTAGGCCATCTTCTTCATTATTTAGGGAGGGCTAAACTGACAGACATTTTTAGAGATACAGATTGTTTAATATAAAAAAACTCTCCCCTCATACCTGCTTCCACCAATTTGGACTGTCTACACATCACACACACAAAAACAAAACTTAAAGGTGAATGAAAAAAAGTGGATTAAAGACTTACCCTCTTACCCTTGACTAACATATTCTTTCCTAAATTTTCTCTAGTTGGTCTCAGAATATTCAATTAATTCAGATTCAGTAATTTAACTAGGTGCTCCCACCCCATTGCTTACATATTTGGATGTTAGGAATGAAGTATTTATATGGCTATTAATTCACATCACTCATGAAGCTTATTTCTACATCATAATGGAAAGTATCATACTTTAAGGCAACTGACAGAAACCGAATTCAACATTCTATTATGGTCTACTCAAACAAACAACAACAAACACTAACTTTAATGCTTTTGCCTTTCAGTTCACCAATTTCATGCATGTTACAACAGAATTCACTTTTTAAATTAGTGAAAAAAATTGGTTTTGGTGCTCATTTCTTAACTTCAATAAATAAATACAAAATAAATAGGCACTACCAAAAAAAAAAAAAAAAAAAATCACTGAAACAGAAATGAGAGTTACCATGTGTTATCTCCAAACAGATAATGAAAATGAGAAGTTCAAAGCATTGAAGATAGTGTCTACAAGAATTTGTAAAGATGCATTTTCAAGACATACAACTTTCATACTGTAAAATATTTACTCTGAGGAAGTACTATATATAACTACTGAACTAATAATAAATATTCATTATAATTTACAGTCAAATTTAAAGCAACCATTTAATATAATATGAAATGTACTTTGGAAAGGGGCAATAAAAACATCTGATATACAATTCGTAAGAGTGAAGAGCTGGAGGATGGCTCAACAGGTAAAGTGCCTGCCTTCTAATCATGAAGACTTGAGTTTAGATCTCCAGGCCCATGCCTGTAACTCAGGCCTTGGGGAAAAGGAGGTCAGACACACGCAGATCCCTGAAGTCTGCCAGCCAGTCTACCTGAATGGTAAGTTTCAAGTTCAGAGAGAGTGATCTTGACTGAGGAAAGACACCTCTGGCCTACACACACACACAACTACACTCACACACATACACACACACACAATTACACTGTACATATATAGACAAATTTTTAAAATTTTTTATATTTTTAATTACGTGATCCATATGTGCCTATATGTGGGTTTGTGCTCCTGTATACAGTGCCCTGAGGGGTCAGAACAGGGCATCCAGTGTACTGGAGGTGGAGTTACAGGTGGTTGTGAGTCACCCAGCATGGGTGCTGAGAACCAAACCCACCCAGGTCCTCTGCAAGAGCTGCCCCAGCACTGTTACCTTTTTTTTTTTTTTTTTTTTTTTTTTTTGCTATGGGAGAGTGTTGGTGTGGACAGGGCTATAAAGATATTCAGATTGAGATATTCTGTATGAAATACAACAAAACAATAAAAACAAATTTATTAAAGAGAGAGAATGAGAATCAGTGTATTGCCTGTATGTGTGTAAATGACCCATGTCGTGCAATGCCAGAAGGTCAGAAGAAGGCATCAGATTCCCTGGAACTGGAGTTACTGACAGTTGTTAGCCACCACGTGGGTGCTGTGAATTGAACCCTGGTCCTATGCAGGAGCAGCCAGTACTCTTAACCACTGAGCCATCTCTCTCCAACCCTGATTGTAAATTTTTTTTAATTTGCATAACATTATGCAAAGTTTTGCAAAGAACCCATATAATAAAATCTATTTCTGAGCTCCTATTATTTAAAAAAATAAATAAATAAAAAAGTTGTGGAAGCTACGGTTGTACTCAATTTTGACCATCATACACTGTATACTGGACTGAAATATTTCAAAATGCCCAACTCTAAGACAAAACAGTATTTGCTCATTAGAAAATCTATATGTGCTTTTGGAATTAAGTCTCTCAAAAATAATAAAGATTTTTAAAAACCATTAGTATATTTATTATTATAAATGTAGTCATCATTTAAACTGTTTGCTATTTAATTTTTATTATTTAACTCATGAAGTGCTAAAGATTGAACCCAGGACACTCTAAGCAAGCACTCTACCATGGAGCTATAGTCCTGAACCAGGAATTAGGCTATTTAAAGGAAAACTTACCAAGTGAATTGGATGTCCTATAACAGTTAAGTGAGATGCATTTGGCTTGATTGTTACAAAGAGAATAAAATTATTTTATAATGTAGTTCCTAAACAATCATATATTAATGTTACTGAATAATGATACTGATAAAGTTTTAAAATAGTACCTATCTTATTGCTGACTGAATCCAGTGGATAACAGTCCAAAATTTGAGTCATCATTTATAGAATAAGAATGCTTTCCTGTGGGTTGTAGAGATGGTTCAGTAGTTAAGAGCACTAGCTGTTCTTGTAGAGGACCTGAGTTTGGTTCCCAGGACCCACATGGCAGCTGATAACCATCCATAACTCTAGTTCCAAGGGATTTGAGTCCCTCTTCTGGCTTCTGTGGGCACTGTGTGACAAAGGTGCACTTACATGCAGAATGTTTTCTTTTTTTTTTTTTTGTTTTTTTTTGTTTTGTTTTTTTAGGTCTCCCTATAGCCTCAGCTGGCCTGGAACTCACTATGTAGACCAGACAGGCCTTTAACTCATAGAGATCCGCCTGCCTCTGCCTCCCAAGTGCTGGGACTAAAGGCATGCACCATCATGCCCAGCGAATATCTTCCTTTTCAAATATATTGTTTCTGTAAAATTCCACACAGTACCTCCATTATATACTAATTAATTCAAAAGGTAAAATTAAAATCTAAAATTAAAACAATTTACAATACCTTAATGTTATACACAACTTTAGCAGCAAATCTAATTATACAAAGAAGGGCAATTAGGAATAGAATTTTATGTGTTACACAATAATTTAATAATAAATTTAATATTTCATTAGTAAATTAAAAGAAATTTCTTTGGTGAACTATAAATTTTAATATGAAAGGAAATTTTATTTACAATCTTATTTGCTTTCTTTTCTTGTGATAATTTCAAGTATTTCATGGTTCTCACCAATACAAAATTTAATACACCTTTTTAAGGAGTATTATCTTTTTAATAAATAAAGCAGAAAGGATTAAAGGCACTTTATTCTAAGCATGTATGAAAAATTAATGCTTGTTATCACTATCTTCACTGTATGTTGTAGCAAATAAAACGTTCAGTATGCAATGTGATGGCAACTTTCATCTTGGGAATAAAAGAATGAAAAACAAATGAAAGAGGATGTAAATATATGTACATGAAATAGTATGTGAAAAGGAACAAGCAGGTGCGAGAACGTGATTATGCACTGTTTCCCCACAAAGTCCTACAATTGGTCAAGAAGTCAGAAGACCAAGCATGTTTTGAAAAACTGTGGTGAAATTTTTTATAAAGCAGAGATGTCTTCTGAGAGAGACACACAAACACACACACACACAGAGAGAGAGAGAGAGAGAGAGAGAAAGAGAGAGAGAGAGAGAGAGAGAGAGAGAGAGAGAGAGAGAGGGAGAGAGGCTCTTTATTGATCCTCTTTAACCAGAAAAATATAAAATACAGGAAACAGTGGCTTTTAGACATATAAGCAATAGTCATTACAGGACAAAGGTCAACAAGAAAACAAAACAAAAGAAGCAAGCTCTACCAGTGCTCCCATCCCAACTGCATGGAGGGTTTGGAGGCTGATAAAAAGGGTAAAGTGGAACCTAATCAGGACCCAAGATTCACATGGAGTTTTGGGGTTTTTAAAAATATTTTTTATTTTATGTGTATGAGTGTATTGAGTGCACCCGTGTCACGCAATGCCACCAAGGTCAGAAGAGGGCTTTGGATTCCCCTGGAACTGAAGTTAAGGACGGTTTGTAGCCTCCATGTGGGTTCTGGGACTTGAGCCCGGGTCCTCTGCAAGAGGAGTCAGTGCTCTTAACCACTGAGCCATCATCTCTCCAGCCCCTCTCACAGAGTGTTAAACCAACATCTAAATAAGTTCAATGTTAAGGGAGACAAGTCAACTAGAATTTGCAGCAAAACAGAAAAGCTGTAGAAATAAAAGAAATCGCAAGAAAATTCCTCTTAAGGTTTAAGCTGAGTAATGATTTGTGCATACATGTGAAAAACTACTGAGTCTACAGAAAAGTCTTCTGAAAATAAGCTCACATTCACATCAACCATAGCAAAAGGACCTTGTAATAATGGGGTTTCAAGTACAGTTTCAAAGTTAATGCAAGTCTCAGACATCAAACCAAATAAGCTTTAGAAAAAGATATTCTGGTGAGATGGGTCAGTGGTTAAGAGCACTGGCTCTTGCAGAGGACCCAGGTTCAATTCCCAGCACCTACATGGTGATTAGCTCCACAGCTCCAGTTCTAGGGGTTCTGATGAGCTCTTCTGACCTATATGGGCACTGCGGAACACGGATGCACTTACACACATGCAGGCAATACACTCATACACATAAAATAAAGTGATTAAATATTTAAAAAGATACTCTAGACTGACACAGCAAAGCTAAAAACCAAGTTCCAAAAGATTAGGCTAATTCTAAGTGGCACAATAATAGCCCCCCAAACAATCCAAAAGTACATAAAATAACACAACAAACTCTAGAATAAATAATGCAAATGTGTATGACACTTATCAAAAAGCAGGAACTATAACCCATAAGATAAAATAAATGAAAATAAATCCAGCAATGAATGATACAGACAGCAGAATTAGAAGGCAATGATGTTAAAGTAAATAACAGAAGTATATTCCAGACATTCAAATAAACATGGCAATGAGAGGTGTATCTATTGCTATGACAAAA